CTCCTTATATACCCCATATACCTCCTTACCTTCTCCTTATATACCCCGTATACCACCTTACCTTCTCCTTATATACCTCCATGTACCTCTGTACCTTCTTGAGTCTCTTCTCTCCAATTATTCTCCTTTATTCCCCAAAGACAATTTTGCTTCTAATTCCAGCTCAAATATTTGTATATGATTGCATATATCTTTATTGAAAAATGACCCACAAAGGAGAAAAAATGAGATATTTCTCCGTGACTGACAGATAACTTCAACTGACCATCTCCAGTTCTACTGTTTTCCTATGAATGATGTGACCTCATTTTCCTTTATGCCTAAAACAGTCCACACTTGGTTCATCTATTCGTCTGGTGATGGGCATTTCATTTGGTTTTATGACCTAGGCATGGTGCAGTGTGCTGGAGTAAACATGGTTGTGTTTCAGGGACCTTCCTGGCACAGAGAGGGGCGTTAGAGGGTCTTTGTTGACCAGGTGGCCCATAGAGGAAGCAAGGAGTCAGAGTTGGCAAGGGGAGGGAGTGAGCCAGATGGAATGGTCAAGGGAATCTTGAGCTGACGTGCTAGCAGGCAGGCCATTTCTGTGGCCCTGACTTGTTTGTAATCAGGTCATTTCTGCTGTTCTGACTGACTAGTAATCAGGTACTTCTTTATTTACACAAGTCTCACAGGACAAAGACAGACTAGTGATTATCCAGGTGGTACCAAATATATGTTTGACTTTTCATTACATGTCCAGGGTTACAAGTTCAGTCACAATTAGAAAATACAAACAGAACAGATTTGTTAGCCTCCTAACTATGGTTTAAATAATCTAAACAACGTCTTCTCCAAGGTAATTTACATTTAATATATGGCAACCTGTTTTTAGGCTGGTAGTGTTTGTTGTTTGCAAGCACTCCAGATAAACAGAAGATATCTGGGCCAGTGTTTTTATGAGTAGAAAATACTAATACATAGCTTCCATTATTACCTGTTTCATCATCTAAGCTATAAAGTAGGAAAGACTTAGTCAATCTATCTTATTTATTGATTTTTAGTCTTTCAGAAGTGTACCCTGTATGACCCCTTATCTTTAAACTACATTTTAAAAAATATTAAAGCCTATAATAAAAAGAGACCTTGACTCTGTAACTTATTCTGCTGGCCAGTCAGAGTTTGTCAGTTGTCTCTATTTGCTCTGTATCAATTGTACTATTTCAGTTAGCTCAGGGGCAGATACTCCAAGAAGATTCCTGGAGTAATGGTGTAATCTAGCTCTGTGCTTAACATCTCCAGGACATAAGGAAGATGTCTAAATAGTGGCCAGATAAAGTTAATTTTAGGACTTTCCTAAAAAGATTCTGACATAATTTTTTTTCTCAGAAAAGACATAAGATCTTAACGCAAAAAGTCCCCAGGAATGTAACACTCAGTGACCAAAACCCAAAAGTGAGACATAGAAAGAAGGACAGCGGTTGTAGCAGTTTGCTCTGCTTTGCTGGAACTGGGCCAAGCATCTTTGCTGACTTCATGACTCTCACAGTTTCTAGTGGATACAGCCGTGCCAGTTGTGCAAGCAGAGCATCTGTGGTGTGATTTGGGGTTCTTTGGTAAATCCCCAGAAGTGACGTCACTGTGGTCCATGGTCTGTTTTTACTGTTTTGAGGTGCACCAGTACTGACTTCCCACAGTGGCTGGACTAGACACATTCCCACAATCACTGCGCTCAGTTCCCTTTTGTTCATATCCTTGCTGCCTGTGTTTGCTGCTACATATATTATCTGATGTTTGCCAAATGAGCAAATTAATTAATTAATTAATTAAATAATAAATCAAAACAGGCAAACAAACAGAATGAGTGGAGGCTGTGCCAGGACTAATGGGAGAGGAGAGAGGAGCATGCAAGGAAGTGTGAGGAACACACCCCAAACGTGTTTGTTTTTAGCCACCTTTGTTCTGGTAGGGATAGAACATTGATTTTAATTTGTATTTCTCTCATGGCTAGTGACATCGATCACTGTTTGTTTGTTTGTTGAACATTTATCATTTCTCTTTTGACAGCAGTCTGCCTTCTTTGCTCCTTTGTTGACTGAGTGGGTTGATGTTTTGTTGTTTAGGTTTGTTAGTTCTTTGTGAATTCTAGATATCAATCTTCCTTCGGTTGTAGACTTAGAAAAAACTACTCCCATGTCATTTTGGACACTGCATCTCCACTTGATCAACTATGTTGTCTGCCATGTCGAAGTTTTTCTATTTCAGGAGGTCCCACTTGTTGGTTGTTGTCATTAGTCCCTGAGCAGCCTTAATTCTACATATTCATTCTACCTATTCAGAAACTCCTTGCCTGTGTCTGCATCTTGAAGTGTTTCCCCTACTTTGCCGCTACAGTTTCAGAGTATCACTACAGAGATGCTTTTGCATTAAGGTTTCTGTCCTCTTTGGACTTTATTTTTCTACAGTGTGAATGACAGGGATGTGGTTTTATTCTTCTACATGTGGACAACTAGTTTTACCAAAATCATTTGTCGAAGAGGCTGTATTTGTTCCAAAGTATATTTTTGGCATGTTTGACAATAATCAGGCATCTGTAGTCATGGGATTTGTATCTCGGTCCTCTTTTCTGTTCCACTGACCTACATGTTGGATTTTGTATCAGGCCACATATACTGCTTTTGTTGTGGTGGCTCTGTAAGATAACTTGAAATCAAGTTCAGTGATACTTACAGCATTTTCCTTTTTCTTTTGCTCAGGGTTGCTTTGGCTGCCTGAGCTTTTGTGCTTCTGTTTCAACTTTATGATTCATTTTCTACTTCTGTGAATAATGACAAAATTGAAAATTTTGATTGGAAGCCCATCGAACCTGTAAATAAATCACTTTTCGTAATATACTAATAATCTTGATATTGTTTCTTCTACTCCACGAATGTGAGGGGACTTTCTATTTCTTAGTATGTTTTTTCAACTTCCCTTTCTGATGTTTTAAAGTTTTTATTATACAGACCTACAGGGAGAGGGTGAAAGCGTGTTGCTCATCTGGAGATGGCCATGCCACAGACATAACACCTCAGCCCAATAGAAAGGGTGAGGTTTGGAGGAGGTTAAAACCTTCCTCAAGTCCAAGTGTAGATGCTGATAACCTGTACAGAAAAAGTCCACTATGCTTACAGTCTGAACAGTGCTCCCCTACAGAGACTACTCCTACCAACATTAACTAATCCTGCTTCCTCGTTGTTCAGCTGTGTGCAATAACCCCTCTTCCATGTACAACTGCATATAATAAATATATTGAGTTTTGCTGTAGCATCTCCATTTGAGATCCAAAATCATACCAGCTCTTCTGTACACGTGTCTGTCCATTCTTCATCCCTTCACCACCCCAACTGAGTGAATCCTTGGAACCATGCAAAACATGACAGAGACCTCTCAATTCTTTTGTTAGGGTTATCCAAATATGTATTTTAGACAATTGTAGGTGGGAAAGTTTTCTTGATATTTTTCTCACAATTGTCATTGATTCGTAGGAAGACTACTGATTTTTATAAGTTAATTTTGTACTCTGCTGTGTTGCTGAAATGAATGTCTTTATCAGATATGAGAGTTTTATGCCGGAGTCTTTAGAATCTCTTACATAATGGAGTCATATCATTGGCAAGTAAGGTACCTTGACTTGCTCCTTTTCTGTCTGTATTCCTTTTATTGCTCCTTTGGTTTTATTGCTCTACCCAGGAGTTCAAGCATTACAGAGTAAGAGTGGAGAAAGTGGACGCACCCTTGCCCTATATTTGGTTTCAGTTTAGGATAATGTTGGGCATAGTTCTGTAGCTTGAAGACTT